AATTTGCGGTGAGGAATCATCCCTTGAGACTTTTCCAGGCCTTGGACGATGTGAAAACACAAAACGATGTCTTTCCACGCCTCAATCTGCGATCTGTGGGGTCCTGGGAAACGGTTTCCGGAAGAAGTTTCACCTTTTCCTGGACGTCTGGTGTGGGTTGTGGGCCCCAGAAACTGTTTTGCGGCAAAGTTTTTCCGTCCGCATTTCTGTGGGATCCAGCCCGAAGGCCTTTTTTTTTTTTCTTTTTTTGTCGTGGGTGGTTTCTTTCCAGGTGGACGGCAATTGTCTGTGGGATCCGGAAAATCTTTCCAAACGCCTTTCCGGAAGCTGCCACCCGCTTGTGGAATCACGCCCTAAGTGAATATTCACGTCTGGGATAGTTCAATCTGTACCTGACGAGATATAATTGCACTATGGGGCATAGAGTTTGCAATTGCACTTCCCGCACCCTACCTGCCTAGAAAGCTTGGTTGTATAGATTGGCCGAACTGCAATTCAAAACTGTATCTTGGCCCACAGTGCAATTATAACTTATTTTTGTGACTCCCGCGTAGTTCCCCCTTTTTTTTATTAGGACCCACTGCCCACTCATAAATCGAGAAATTATCTGTACCTGATAGTTCAAGGAACTAACAGCTGGAGACACAGCATCTGGGTAGGTTGGGTCTTGCTGTTGCCGTCTGACGTTTTTTTTTTTTTTTTTTGCATGAACACACTGACATACCACGAGGACGGGGGCTCGCAGCCCCTAGTGTCGACCGAACCCTTGCTCGAGGACAATGTTTTTCCACTCATCGCCGGACATGGCTGCAGTCACATGCATCCCCGGGGTAATGACTGCGTACAATGACGTCAAGTCCACTCCCCGGATCCGACAGGCAGATTGTGCCTTCAACGAAGACACTCCTACTATGGCGGTTGATACCTTCTCCATTGTGAAATGACGTCTGAAATATTAAAAAAAAAAAATAATAAAAAAAAAAAATCACTAGCGCCCAAATCTGGACATGTTTATGAAGATGTGAAGCTGCTGAAACCCAGCACAATTGTCTGCGCATCACCACAAAGGTCCAGATTCGAGCTTTGAGGAAACTCAACGCTGCTCCTAGTGGTGGTCCCAGGGTGTAACAAGGCCCCGCGTTACATCAGGTCACCAGCAAAAAAAATAAAAATAATAATAATAATAATAATTTTTGCTGGTGACCTGATTTAACATCAACGTTGACGGCAGCCAGATACATCCGCCAGCTGTACCGAGGACATATGATGGACCTCTCTCCACTACTGACCACTTGTACGAAAGACACAAAATATGGCAGTGAATCTACCCAGGTTCTAGCGGGAAATTCATTCTCCCTGAGTACCGGAGGGATGCGACGGTTACATCCAATCCACGAATCCCACAGACGACCTTTAAACCACCAGTACTTGGGCGACGCCTTAGCGTTAACGCTACGGGCGCACCCCTACCGGTGGGCCATCGATAACTGGAATCGACAGCCTGCGCCGCTTCGAGATGTGGGCGGCTGGCGCAGCGCGCAGTGCCCAAGTACTGGTGGTTTAACCACCAGTACTTGGCCCAGCTACTGATGCCGAGCCCGGAGACCCCCTGCGCGCCAAGTTTTGCCGAACCGACAGCGTGGCATTTTGTTTCGATTTTTCCTGGTGTCTCCAGCCTTTGTGCTCCGGTATCCCGAAGCTCATCGGTCGTGGCGCGTTAACGGGACCGCGGCCGATGTATGGGCCAAGTACTGGTGGTTTAAGGAAGAAGCTACTGACAGCGGAAAAAAAAAAAAA